TTGGAATGGGATGGCACGGAAATGTACCACTACGTGGCATTCACTCCTGATAGAGCCCGTGTTAAGTGAATGCTCCTTACTTTAATATATTGAAGTGGGCATCAAGTAAAATGAAATAAGCTCACATAACTATCGGTATACGTTTAACTGGTGCTCAAGGGTTTCAGTGCTCTAGACAACAAAGTTTGCCCTTTAATAGGCATGCCCGTCAGTGCGTCGTTGCTTGCTTGTGCCATGGAACCTTGCATGGCAACGCTCGCTTGCAGTGCTCCAATCTCCCGAGAGGTGGCCCACGGCGGGGCTGAAAGTGTGCTCAACCGAGTATCGTTGGGTGCCCGTGTTTTGTCCCTTTCTCTTGCAGTTTTTGCATATTTATCTTTAAGTTTAAGATACTTACTTGTATTCAATGTCCCGTCATAGCGCTATTTTCAAGTAATTCGATGACAAGTTGCATTTTCGTAATAACTAGAAAGAAGGCATAACTTCTTGCAATATGTAGGACAAAACGTCATTTGTGTTGTCATCTTGCATGGCTTGCGCAATGTTTGTATGAAAGCCAACTGACGACCCTCTTATCTGAAAATCGTGCTCACGAACCCAAGGTAAGAGCGACTCGACAATTATAGTAGTTACCCTGAACGCTCTGTGGTCAGTGGGATGGCAGGTTTTTACTGGCGTTATTATGGCGTCATGGTTGCATCATGGGTGACCTTGGCGTAGTCAGCACGAAAAAGTCTGCACATATTTGCGGGGGTGTGTAGTTCAGAAATTAGAGGGTTTTAGGTCTTAAGAAGGGCAGGGCTGTGAGTCACACCAAATGATATTTAAGATGGCTTTTTCATTTAAAACCCGTACGAATGTGGAACACTCCCTGCAATATTAGCTCTCGCTCTGTTTCCCCGTTTTCGTAGCGTGACGGGCGTGACGGGGCGTAGCGTGACGGACAGGGGGTGGGGACTGAAGTGACCCCCGGGCGTTTCCAAAGGAATGAATATACAGCCCAGCGGAAAACATTAATGGATTAGTTTCAACCGATCCCGAGATTGGTGCCATGCTTTTTATGTTGTTTGGTTAACAATTAACCCCATCATGCCAGATCGAATGTTCATCGTCCAGAAAGTCGCACTTTTCCAGCTTTACAAAGTCATGCACGTGGTGTCATGTCTCGTGGCGACACGAGGTTAAAAAGGCGTGTTTCTCGTTCAATGATAAATAAAATGATGCATGTGCACTGGGCATATATTTACAATATATAGCTCCGTGAAAGGTAGTATTCCACATTTATATGGGACTTTGAACTGAAATAGCCATCGTGAAGACCTTTAAGTGTTATTTACAATCCTGGCCGTCTGAAGACCTAAGCCCCTCTAGTTCCTGAGCAACACGTCCGCGAAAGTGGGGAAGGTGCATCGGGGAGAGCATTTCAAAACCACCTTTGGATTCATGACGTCATAAAAACGTCATTAAAATCCTGCAATCCCATAAGACATGCGGTGATCAAGACCAAAAATACAATTGGCGAGGCTTTCATATCTAGCGTTCCTGAGCGAGATGTCCAGATACAATAGCCGGCAATTGGTTCTCAATCGATGCTGTGCAAGGTACGAAGACATAATCAAACCATGACGCATCGCGCAGCATATTGACCTAAAATAGAATTGTGATGCTTTGATCGGTTTTCCACTTAAAAAGCATACCAATGGCTATAACTGAGCTTGTTTCATCATGTCTAATGCCTGGTTCAATATCCTCGAATGTGAAACATCAATGTAACAATGTCGGCCCGCCGCGCGCGATCCGCGGCATCATCGGTTGCCGCCCACCGACCGTGACGTAGATAGCTAGATAGTGTTCCCCAAAAACCGCCGCTGCTACGAAACCAGAGGAACTAAGGACACGTCTTATCATCGGTTGCCGCCCACCGCCCGTGACGTAGATAGCTGGATAGTGTTCCCCAAAAACCGCCGCTGCTACGAAACCAGAGGAACTAAGGACACGTCTTATCATCGGTTGCCGCCCACCGCCCGTGACGTAGATAGCTGGATAGTGTTCCCAAAAACCGCCGCTGCTACGAAACCAGAGGAACTAAGGACACGTCTTTGGTTTAAAAAGGACACGTCTTTGGTTGGTATAATGCTCACCACCTCATTCGGAGTTGCTCTTGACGTCACATGCTTAACAATTCAATTATTGTTGTTTCTTGTTAGTACTTGACGAAGGGCTGATCCTCTAACTTATTCTGTAAAGCACCGCATTATTGACTTGCCTGCTTGAGACACGCATGTCACTCACGTCCTTTCAAACAAATCTATCCCGCTTTGAGTCAGTTTTTAGCATTAAGAGACGTGGTCACGACAGCCGATGGACCTGTTCGAATAAATCCCGAATATGAGCCTGTTCGAATAAGGAGTGCTGATGTCACCACCATGCATCAGTCACTCTAGTTCTGCCCCGGTTACCCAGCATTCCCCTTTCCCCTCAAGGTGGTTTTCATTAGAACATCTCTAACATAATGAGCGCATGTGCCTCATACTTTTTTGTTTTCCATTTCTTGCATAAGAAGTGAAATATTTGCCTTCGTATGTTTTTTGTAGCGCTAATAAAGTTGTGGTTCGTACACGCGCATTGAGGTTAAACATGGTATATTTTACCTTACTGTAGCCATAACAAGCTGCCGAACCCGTAACTTGTGTGGGGTTGTCATGAAGTTGTCGTAAACGATGCAATAATCAACATGATTAAAAAACGGTAGCATTTATTATATTCATTGCTGCATTATTTCATGCAGTGATGTCCTAAAACAGTTCGCACAATTCCATCAAGATCAGCAGCGGGAAAATGGAAGGAAGTGTTCATAACATAGCAGTTTATTTACGGCTATAGCCATGGAGACAACGTCACAAGCAGCATGTGTAGCACTCCTTCCGACATAAAGCGCCAAAGTACCACCAAGATCCAGGATTTTTCCGTTGACATCGATTGTTTCGCGTACATTGGCTTAATTTATTTTTGTCGTCGGGTCCGCTCGGCTGCGCACGGCCGGCGGCCCACGTGTCAAGGTCAGCACCTGAACTTCAGCTCCAAACTTGTAACGATGTGCGCTGGCATCAACTCCGGTCACCTTGGAGCGCGGCGCGCGCGGCCATCTGCCCATCACCTGCGACGGTGGCCGCCGCCAGTGGCGCAGCAGGCCCCTAGTAGCTCGCCGACAGAGTCTGATCGAATTCGGGGGCGTAGCATGATGTTTACGATATTGCCGAAGTTTGAATTTGTGACGTGGACCGGGCCGGAGCTAGGTTTTAAATGTTCCGTGGCACGGAGCACGATTCCGGGCTAGCGTGCCCTGTTTGGAGACGTATAGAAAAGCTGAAGCTGTTGTCAGGCGCACAGTTTCTCTTAGTTTCGGCCTGCTGTTCTGAGGAAACACACCACTGTTTCAGTTTGCCGAGGGGTGAGTGCTATTATTGTCCGCGTACCGAAAACCTTGCTTAATAAACACGCATGCGAATAAGGTATGATGTTGTTTTATTTGCCTGGTCTGACATATGTAATTTTCTCTGCTGATATTTCAAGTATTCGGAGTTTGGTATACCGTGCAACCTGCGTATCTGACTTAAATTACTATAAACCGATTCATTGGCACCCTTGGACATACCGAGTAATAGGTCAGTATTGCGCTGTTTTTGGATCAACGTCCATGCTATTGCACTTCTGCATAGAGGCCGTCTCTATTTTTGTTTTGTTTGGTGTAAACAAATGGCCAGATAAACTTAATGAGCTGGCATTGACGACTCTCAAGGGAGTTACGCATGCCAGGGTATTTTCTACCCGTTCAGATGTCCGACATCGCCTGTCTAGATGTCTGTTTTGCTTTAATTTTACGTGCTCTTCTTCACCTGAGCCACACATGACTGTCGCGTGGTTTTCAACAAGTCGCGATGGGAAGTCCCCCCCCCCCACCCACCCGCATGTCCAACATGGCAGACAAGGTTTGGTACCAAGGTGCTGTCAGGACTGGAGCGGCGCCTGGGCTGACGACACCGGCGCTTTGTCAATACCATTTAATTTTCGCCCGCATTGAGCGTTTTGAAGTCCCGCCTCCGTGCCGGTACCAGCCGGATGTCAGTGGTTTTAGTATGATTTCCTCGCATCAAGGTCGTTTCCTGCGCAGTACCAGTCCAAAGTTGTCAAACTGTGGTCATTTCCAGTGCATGAGCGAGGTTTGAGTATCCTTTCGATTTCATTAGAAATTCCATTATCTCCAGCTCGCGTGTTTTCGTTTGCACGGCCTTATCATCCTAGTTGCTCTAAGGGAACCGAAGAGGCTTTGCAGCTAAATGTGCAGGTAATTGTCTTGTAGTTCTAGCATTATCACTCAACAATTCTGTGTTTACGCTGCGACAAATAACTACGTGGGAAAACTTTTAGACAGTATGACAGCAACTCTCTCCAGCCCGACGTGAAGCAACAAAGGCCCGCGACCTCTGACTGCGACCTCTGACCTCATGCGGCACCCCTGACCTCTGGTATCCCCCTAACCATGGCCTTGTACATCCTGACCCCTGACCCCTGCCGGTACCTCTGACCTCTGACAGCCGCCTCGACCCTAGCCGGTGGCGCCCGTGACCCCAGCCTTCACCTCTGATATCCGACCCCAGCTGGCACCTCTGGTCTCTGACCGCCGCCTGTGACCCCAGCCGGCAGCACCCCGGACCCTCGCATTCACCTCTGAGACCTCTGACCCTGGCCAGCAGCTCTGACGTCAGCCGAGGCACCGGCGCGCCCGCCGCCCTCTGACGAATGGCGTCTGTCTTCAGCCGAGCCGGAGCCGGCGGCCGAGCAGGGCGTGGGGCCCAGCTTCACCAGCATACCGCCACGCGACGCCGGCGTGTTCGACCACCAGACGGGCACGACGCTGGAGTGCCGCGCCGACGGCTCGCCACCCCCAACCTCACCTGGGTCTCGGCCGGTGGACGCCAGGTGACCTCGGTGCCGGCGTGCGGCTGGTCAAGAAGGGTCAGATCAGGTCAGTCGAGGCAACGGCCGCCGTTCAATGCTCTTGCAACGCGCGCGCCAGATAGCAATGCTCTCTGGGTTGTACCAATAGGGAGCACAAATGTCAGCACGCCCGCAAGGTAACGGGCTCGTGGTTTGAACGCGCCCTGTTGGTGCAAATTCGTACACCTGAAGTTCGAGGAACCAGTAATCGGCACAAGTTATTGACACAGAACACAAAACTCTCACGAAGCCGAATGACCTAAGTGCCAACAAACTGAGCTCATGAACCAAATCGCAACATCAGATTTCGCTCATTGGACCGAAAAATCATGTGTTCTGTGGGAGACGGTGTGGAAGTTGGGTGATTGGTGCATCGTTCACAAAATGTGATTCCGACATGCTTGGGGACACTGGTGGGAAATATCCACCAATGACCGGCCTAAAGTACCATGTTGCCATGGTAACGTATATGTCGCACGAACTAATGAGATGTGGTTGGACTACGAAAAGGATATCTTGGAGGCCAAATTCGAGAGTTTCGGGAATGTGGCAGACAGCTGCTGGTTGGACACATTTTGAGCTGAGCTCCATTTCTTTGGCAGCTTTAAGTCTAAGCATGGAGTGCGTAGCATGCGTGTCGACCTGAAACAGCGCGCGGTTACACAAGTAGCAGCGGTGGGATTGGAATGAGTTCCACGACATAAGTGCTATAACAAAAACTCCTACCGACAGGAATGGTACGAAATCAATTCTACTGTCGATATTCATGTCCGACATTTGTTCAACGCGACAAAATCCGTGCTGCAAAAGATTATATCCGTCATTGTTTCTACTGGAAAAACTTGTACAACCAATACTTATACACGAAACTAATTCTACTGCAAAATTGTATCTGCGATGTTACTGCTACGCGACAAAATTGTATCTGCGATGTTAATGCTACGCGACAAAATTTATGTTTCATACAATTGTACCCCGCCATTACTTTTACTGCAAAAACGTATACAGCCATTAGGTATGCATGGCATTACTTCTACTGCAATGACTTATCCATAACTTAGGAACTGCACGTCCAAACTTACACTTCAGATTTAAACCCGTCATTACTTTTACTGCAAAAAGCATATACAGTCATTGGTTACACACAAATTAACTTCTATTGCAAAGACCTAAGAGGCAAGATTAGTGCTAGACGATGCAACTTTTAGGTTAGAATACAGAATTCCCTTTACTTTTACTGTAAGAACGTACGATGTTGTTACGTATACGCAACAATACTTCTACTGCTTATAATGCCTGGCCGTTGAAGTGCAAATGATGTGGGCACCTAGGAGCAATGAAGAACAGCTTACGGGCTGGGAGGAAACCCCAGCTGGGTAGCACTGAAGCTAAATGTTCGTGGTGCTGGCAACGAAAAGTTATTTATTCGGCATGTTACGTGATTTTGGTCTATGTGTAGTACTTGACGTATAAACAAGGGCTGTAGTTTGGGTGGCAAGATGTCAATGGTGGTATAACTCCTTGAAATATTATATTTGTCGTGTAGCACCAGAGCCTTATACAAGTCACTGCATTAGAAGCAATGCCGCGCTTCAATGAACATCTAGCCAGAAGGGTAGTCTGATAGTCAGTAGGAGACCGCGTCCAGCCCATCCGCGATAGGAAGGTGCGCCACATTCGGGGCAGACACCGCGCTTCGAGTATTTGGAGCAGGTTTGGCCCCTTTTTTCTGCTTAGCATTCAAACTTGTTTTGCAACACAACGACACTTGCACCATTCACTTCTGTAGAAGAAGAAGAGACTTCTATGCAGTCGCGTAGAATTATTGCCGCAAGTGGGTTTAAACGATCGCAATATTCACAGCAGCCACAACAGTGTGACTGCACCCAGCCAAGTGCTTCCATGTGTTCGCTCCCTCTGCAAGATTTGTGTGAGGCTTGACCTGTTGGTTTGGGTACTGACAGATATAATTTTCGGAGCGCGACCTGTATCGTATAGCACACATGTCGCATATAGTATTGGTCGAAGGAGAGTAATATGGCTGATGCAGGACCATATAGATTTTTACGGCAGACGCAATGGCGGATATAGCGTTTTTAAGTCTCACTCTTTAATTCTTTTCAAGTTCTGTGGTGCGGCCATATGTTACATGAGGCTCGTTGCGGTTGAAATAAAGCCTCATGTAAGTAAAGACTGCTGGCAGTCTTTGCTGTAGAGGTAATTAATTCTGTTTGTTATTCCAGCATGAGTCTGTCGTGTAGTACTCATGTGGTGTATGAGTTTTGCTGCAGAAGTTCTGCTCGCTTATAAATAAAGACTGTATAAGTCCTGATTGTTTAAGTAATGACAGGCATAAGTTTTCCAATGCAAGAAATGTCGCGTATAACAGTCACACGCGACATGACTTGTACTGACTGGTTGGCAGTTATTAGTTGGTTAGCAGTTACTTCCATCTGCCAGCCAGTCTGGAGCGCGTTCGCTTGATGATGGCTATTTAAAAAATTCGGGTTTTGATGATGTCATATTAGTTTTGCAAACTGTCGCAAGTCGAAAACTAGAAACATCACCTAAAAGTGCGATATCCAGCATAAATAAACGTTGCCAGCAATGAGTGCAGCGATTTGTCGTGTCAGGGTAGGAGCATTTTGAACCAGTGTCGTTATTGGCCCGTTATTTGTATGTTTTTTCTTTGGGTTACGGACCAAAGGCCCAAATACAGCCAGGTTCTAAATCATCTAAATATCAACGTGTGAGTTGCAAATCCGAACGAAATGTCTGCATACTTTTCCAACGGGGGCAGGGCCTTTCTTGGACAACTGGTGTCCTGGTCAGTCCTGTTGGCAAGCTCACACTGGCGCGCGCCCGGAAACCACATGGTCTTTCAGTTCGTCCATCTGAGGCCTGAGCCGCATTACACCGGGGTCAACGGCACAGTCTACCCCCTCAGGTAGGTTAACCGACCCCGAAGCCCGACACCCGCCTGGCCCCAGTGGGGCGTGAAATGAGTAATGCTTACTAGGGCTAGAGACGATAATGATTTGGCATCGATAACGATGCGTTTGTAGCCTTAGTGGTCGATCACCAATGCATTATCAAAACATTTCACTCCTGTCTCGGACAATGACCGCATTGGTGAGCCTCCCAAGACGCGGCTCATGTTCCTGTCGTCCAGCTGGCGATCTTCCCACGTTACACGAAAGGAAGCAGTACAATACAAGAAGGTGAATCAAACTGGCATACCCTTTAATTTCATCGATGAAGATAAATTTGCAGCCTCATTTACCGATTAGTGTTCCATTACGGTCTACTTCGTACACTGATACCTATCTTCTCAAGCACGGTTATGCGTAAAGAAGCTGTGATATTAAACTCATAAGTTACGGAGTGTGCCGGTCAAAGCCTTCCTGTACAAAAGTTACGCCTTTCTTAATATGATTATGCCCCTATTCTAGCCAATATCGCAGTGCATCTCGTCAAAAACGTAATTAAGCTTCTCCTCGTTCTGCTTATGAAAATAAATTCAACACATGACAAATAGACAAATCAATGCGTTGAAGCCAACTACAAGCAAACCAATGTTGACACGCGCGCTGTAGCGTTCCTTCGTATGGTTTTCTTACTGCGGAAACACGGGGTCCCAGCGGCGAATTAAGTGAGCACTTGGCACTTGCACTTGCACAGGCACTTGCCCGCTTGGCCAGTCACAAACGTTCCTTTATTTGCCCCAGTAGAGGTGCGCACGGTGTATGTTGTGGCGGTGGTCGATACCTCAGGGATGAAGCGCATTGTATGTTATGGCGGTGGTCGATACCTCAGGGATGAAGCGCAGTGCTGTTACAAAGCATTTACATTTTTACAATTTTACAACAAAAAATTACACTTACAAGCACTACAAACACTGGCAGCGCAATTTGGACTCGGAAATAGATAAGACAGTGGTAATAACCTTACCGCCCTGAAAAAAAAAACACAGGAGAATGGAGGCATAGGTGCGTTGATATTTCGGCAGCATGCCTTTCTCGGGACAATAGCGGAAGTGAATTCCCTTCTGCTTTTGCCTCGATAAATGCATGTTGCCGAAACACTGGCCCAATTTATTTCCATTCTCTTGCTTTTCTCCCAGGGATAAGGCTATTACTGCAGTCTTATCCATGCGAATAATGTTCTTCGCAAATTCACTTAAAAACTTACACAATTTTGAATCGAATAGGACTCGAAAATGATTAAAATTGATATCCTTATGATGTGTTGGCTCTACTGCAGTGGCAGAGCCCAGCGTTATTATAAGACGTAACTTGTCCTGAGGTTTCACTAGAGTACATTTTGAAATGTGACCCAAAGGCAGGGCACTCTCTTGAAAGAGAACTGTGACGATGGTTGTTGCGATTGTGTCAAAACTGTTATCAGTTTACTGACGATTGATCAAAAATGAGCTACACGTGCTATTTTTTTGCAGCGTGCTATACGTATGGCATCTGTCATAGGGTTTCGATTGAGCCCAGCTAGCACAAAGTCGAGCCGGTTGGTGTAAATCAAATTAACTATCCAACACAATAAGTGAAACGCTTGTGTTGATGCCGGCTGTAATACAGGCATGCTTGCTAATGATGCTATGTTTATGTGGCCTTAACGAGCGTTATCATTAATTTTCTCCCGAGCACGCCGTCTCTGCTACTGGACAGCAGCTTCTGAGAGTCTCGTCTCCGATCTGAGAGCCCCTGAAATTATTCATGTAGGTCTGATAATTTATATCAGATTTGAATGCGGTGACTGGATATTTTAGGACAAGTTCTCACTTGATCGTCAGAAAGTCGAGGAACGGAGTCTAGATGTCACACGAACACATTGCGGTCAGAGAGTTGTATTCAATAATTCAGATGTGTTAAACATTTTGCACCAAAACACTCGCACACTTCCCAGAACATCTTAAGCTATGAGACGAACGCCTAGCATTTGTGTGCGTGTAAAAATGCAACAATGTGTCGTATTTTATATGGTTATGTTAATAAAGCGTTCTTCAACGCAGCTGAAGGCTACGCGATCCGATCACCGATGCCTGCTACAGTCTGCTCCGCTGAATTCTCTGAGGATTGGATTCGCAACGACGGCCGGGGCTAATGCCGTCGGTGGGCAGAGGCGAACGGCGGCCTCCTTTGTACGTCGCTATGTCAACACGGGCTCGCTCGGGTCGGCTGCGACTCGATAGCGCCGACAGACAAAAACGTGACGCCAGGCGTCCGTCCTGGAAGAAGCCTGGCAATCGGGTCAGAAGCCCGACCGCTCTCCGGTGCGTCGACAAAGCTGAGCTCCCTGGAGCAGAAGGGCTTTGATGAAATAGACGACGCGGAGGAATGCTGCGGAGAGTGGCGAACGTGTGAGGTGTTGACTGTCGACGGCCACGCGAGACATCAATGGAGAAACGTTCTGGACGTAGCTAAATCTCCGTCAGTTCGAGGATCACTTCTACAACATGCGTCTGTTCTTGCGTCAGTCTCCATGGGCGAATAGAACCGGGCGTATTGCGACGAAGTCAACTGCCGAATAAAAAGAAGAGGATAGAGATGCAAAGCAGGAAGCACAAAAATGCAGCAGATTAAGTTTCTGCAACTTGGAGCGTTGTTATGGCACAACGAAGTAGTAAACTGTCATTATAACACAAGAACAATGTCCTCGGTGACCTCGACATCCGCGCTCGCACGGGATCCAGCACTCCCCACCAACTGATCCCGTGCGGCAGAGCAGATTGTGTCCGCACCGACTGCTGCCGTGGGTAAGCTGCCGATAATTGGACGTCCCAGCGCCGCCAGCTGTTCACCACGTGTACCACGTCCTGCGAGCACGCTTCAGTCGCCCCTCCCTCGTTCCAGATACTTCTCGTTCTCACCGGACATGTATCGCCACGACTTCCACAGCACCGAAGTGCGCTGTCTGGCCTCCAACAGCGCCGGGGCCATCATCAGCCTGCCGGTGCACATCAGGGCAGGTCAGCTGACACTTTCGCCCGCTCCCCGAACAGCCAGCTGAGTGGGGCACTCCGCGTCCGTCGGGGAGGGGTGGGGACTGGAGCCGGGTGACGTCGTCGGCTGAGATTGGGTCGTTTGGCGGGGGCCATTTACTGGCGTCACGTGCGGGGCATCAGCCGTTCCGGTGCCGGGCAAGTGTGCATTCGCTGGCGCACTGGCAACGTGGTGAAATACGCACTGAGAGCTCAGCTTCCCTGCATGCGTATGCTTTGGCACAAAGAGATGAATGCAAACGATTTGAGCCGCGAGTACAAGTTATTTTCGAAGTTGACTCTACCCAACTATCACGTCCAACGCAAAAGCGTCGGTGCCATCTTCCTAGCAGCTGCGGCAAAAATGTATTCATGCTACTCCTAACAAACATATTTTTCAACGCGAGCATCTCCTGGAGGCGAGAGGGCCGCTTCTCTTCGGAACGATGTCTTAACGGCTTTCAGCCGCGCCGAAGACGAATGATGGTGACGCTGGCAGGGGGTTATTCTCGGCGACGGTGCGCACTCCCGTCAGGGCTCGCCGGCAAATACCCAGACCACCACCTGGTTCGCTGCTTATGGGGGGGGGGGGGGGAGGGCTTCAGCGGCTGTCTGAGACTCATTAACATTCAGCTGGCACTCCGACATCCCGTGGATCATTGCAGCAATTGATCGGATGAATTGGCGTCAAGCTCCGTTCAGAACAGTCTTCAGGAAGTGGGCCACACAAAGGGCAAAGGTTTCACAAGGGAGTGGGAGAACTTCTAGATTAACACCACCATTGAGACGTTCAGTTCACGAGAGCGTGTTTTCGCCACTTCCGCGATAACGAAGACGGCCCACGTAATTAAACTCCATATCTCCATACGGGAGCGGACGGGGCGGCCCGTTCGCGCCATTCATTTTGAGGCTGGAGAAGGAAGAGACCATTAATCTCCATCGCCGTCTGTAGACCACACCACCCACCCTGCCCACATGTGTCAGCCCGCACCACACAGGGTGCTGGGTGCCGGAAACGGCTTTTGTGGTCGCGGCCACGGTAAACAAAGACCAACTTATCGAGAAATGTGACTAGGGCGCCGGCACGAAGCTAATGCTGATTTGCTCCAAGTGCGATTGATGGTGTGTTTGGCAGCGCCGGCGCCGCGCGGGATCGATGCACGTTTTCAGTCTTCAAGATTAACCTGGCCGGCGGATCAATGAGCTCATTAAACGTGCCCATGAAGTAAACGCTCGGTTCGCTAATGACGCTTTGAATCATGTTGAAGAGGGCTGTTCCCTTCATATGTAACATATTGAGCTATTAGTACAAGTCTTAGTAAAACATTCAGTAGACGATCAGTCACTGGGACGAACGAAATGACTGTACTTGCTACCGTAGTATGTTTTCACTAAGGCTCGCACACAAGCTTCCTCAAGTGTGTATGACGTCCGTCGTCTCACCAGTGTGCCCCCCTCCCCGTCAACCTCACCGCCGGCCCCTCTGCAGTGATGAACCAGCCGTTTAACCTGGGGGTGCGGGACAGCTACGCCTCGCCCGGCAGTCCCGCCCTGTTCACCTGCGACGTGCCCGACTACGTCACCGACCACGTGACCGTGGCGTCGTGGGTGCGCGACGACGAGTTTCAATATCTACCCCAGCGACGATACCGGTCAGTGCAAACGTGATGGAATGAAACTCGCGTCCCACGGCGACGTAACAGTTATCGTGCCGCGGCAATGCTGACAGCAAAAACCAGATCTAATGACAAGCTACTGGCGGCCAGTTGTGCTGGTCTCCTTTCATAATGTATGCATGATTGGTTTTGGCACTGACATTGTTTCATGTAATGATTGTTGAAATGAAAACAAGGGACGTTTCACTTCATCGTACAACACTTGGAAGCGCTGGGCAGTTTCAGGCGCAAACTACAAAAAAAAAAAACAACTAAGTTGGTGTCTGCCCATACATTGCGCCGCTTCATGTTCTGGAGTGCTCAGGAAAGTGAAAGCATGCCAAAGTTCTGGCAGAGTTTCTGATAAACTGCAGGACGAAGAAATTGTTTATGAGGTTGGCGTATGGGCCTCACCATTACTAGATTGAATGCAAACATGGACAGTCGAACACAGGCTACTCTAGCTCATACGACGCAGAAAATCATTTCGTCAGGCTTTTCGCTGGCCGCTGCATCCGATAACTTGACGGATAACTTCACAAATGACAGCAAAATCGGGTTTATGATTTAAAATACAGCACACAATCACTCACAGCCCTGGGCGTTTAGGCGGCCAGATTCTTTGGTGTTTAACGAAGTGTAGCGTAAAGTTCTTGGACAAAATATGCTGATTGAGACACAGTTCAACGCCACATGAAATCATCCATCTATATTTCAGTTTGGTGCTGTGGGCATGTGATATTCATTCCCTTACATGTTCTTTGCCTGTCTTATTACGAGCATCATGGATTTGACTGCTGAAAGTGTGGAAGATTCCGCTTCGGTGCATATCAATTGTCAATAGTGTGCACTGAAACTTCGATAGAAAATACGTTACATCGGTCTAATGCGTCAAGCAGATCATTGCTGTTGTGTTTACATAAAAGTTGGTAAATTGTTTTGATGTCGACGATGTAAGACATGTTAAGCAAACACTATTACATTTAGCTCATTATCGTAACCTAATCGTACCGCATCCATCCATCGTTAACTTGCTTGCTTTCTACCTATTGTCATCCATTTCAGCCCTACCTTTATCTTGATCACTCATGTCGGGGACGTAAGGATTACAGCACAATCTGTAGACGTGTCTACGTAACTACGTGCATACAGCTATGGCTGCGGCTAATTGCATGTACTTGATATGTCTAGTCAGGTACATGACTTTTTATAGCGACCAGGTCAAGCCATCAATTGCCCCACCATTAGGAATTTACCATCAGCTAGTTCGCTGTAAACTGAGTGATGGATGTAACATGAAAGAAGACTGAGTGACGGAATAATGTGCATGTGTAATCGACCCTTCTTACATGACAATCTCCTAGGACAGGTGGTGGCTTCTTAAACATCTTGACTTTAACACACGGGACTGCCGCTGAAACACGGGACACACAGTACTGCCGCTGAAACGCAGGACACACAGTACTGCCGCTGAAGCACAGGATACACAGTACTGCCGCCGAAGCACAGGGTACACAGTACTGCCGCTGAAACACAGGACACGCGATACTGCCGCTGAAACGCAGGACACACAGTACTGCCGCTGAAACACAGGAAACACAGTACTGTCGCTGAAACACAGGACACATAGTACTGCCGCTGAAGCACAGGACACACAGTACTGCCGCCGAAGCACAGGGTACACAGTACTGCCGCTGAAACACAGGACACACAGTACTGCCGCTGAAACACAGGACACACAGTACTGCCGCTGAAACACAGGATACACAGGACTGTCGCTGAAACACAGGACACACAGTACTGCCGCTGAAACACAGGACACATAGTACTGCCGCCGAAGCACAGGACACACAGTACTGCCGCTGAAACACAGGACACACGGGACTGTCACTGAAACACAGGACACACAGTACTGCCGCTGAAACACAGGACACACAGTACTGCCGCTGAAACACAGGACACACAGTACTGCCGCTGAAGCACAGGACACACAGTACTGCCGCCGAAGCACAGGGTACACAGTACTGCCGCTGAAACACAGGACACACAGTACTGCCGCTGAAACACAGGACACACAGTACCGCCGCTGAAGCACAGGACACACAGTACTGCCGCCGAAGCACAGGACACACAGTACTGCCGCTGAAGCACAGGATACACAGTACTGCCGCTGAAACACAGGACACACGGGACTGTCACTGAAACACAGGATACACAGTACTGCCGCTGAAGCACAGGATACACAGTACTGCCGCTGAAACACAGGACACACGGGACTGCCGCTGAAACACAGGACACGCGGGACTGCCGTCAAACTGGCGGAGTCGTCGCAGTCAGAGATCCGAGAACGCTGGTTATCGGGCGCAGTGGTCACGCGGTCAGAAGTCGTTCAGAGTCTAGAAACAGACTGTCCACTGTCAGGCCGCCTGGGTGGCTGGTCGGGAGACTGGCACATGACCGTCACACTGTCAGGCTGCTGTGAGACCGATGGAGAGACCGTCACACTGTCAGACTGCCGCTGGGCTCGGTCGAGGAACTGGCGCGTGGCTGAGCCTTGGTGACGCGCCGCCTGAGGCCGTCGACAGCGGAGTGACAACCGAGCCAGCAATTTTCTAAACAGGTTGGCGACAGACCAGCTTATGAAGCGCCGCCGGAGTGGCTGGGAGCCATTTTCCGCTAGTTAGTTGGCAGCTATAGCGTTTCGAAATACACGGACATCACTCACTGAAGAGGTCAGGCGATCCCACACATCGCACCATTTTCCAGCGTATTAACTGAGCTTTGTTTCCGCAGATGGGAAGTACGTCATGCTGCCCAGCGGCGAGCTGTTGTTGCAGTCATTCGATATCGGCGAGGGACACACGTTCCGCTGCCGCGTGGTCAACACGGTGACTGGTCAAACAAAGCTAAGCGCCAACGCTGCCAAGGTTCTCCAGCATGGTAAGCAGCGCTGAGAACGGCGCGGAACGTGACTGACGGCTTTGTTTACAATCAGAGTTTGATTCATTTGTAGCACAGGAAGCCATTTGCTTTACCTTCAAAAGCGGTCCAAGTACCCGGCTGAACAAAATCCAAACTAACAAATTGGCTCGGAGGGAAATATTCCTGCCACTATAACTGATGACATTAGACAGCTCCAAATCGATAGTTGCTGACGAATTATGAATATTGGTGTATTTATTTATATTGGCCTCTATATATTCATCAGTTATTGACCTCAATAAGTCATTTGCACGCATTTCACCACTTTGGGCTAGCTGCAGTGGAAAAAGAGTTGCACACATATCAGTCACCACCATTAATGGAGCACGTGGCCATGACCTGCACCCCGTTACCTCTCTCGAGGCGTCCGCGTGCCGCCGGTTTGCAACGAACTCCGCTGGGCGACTCCGTTGTATCCTACAGGGGAGTTGAGCTCGCGCGCGGCACGGTCTGCCTGCGGCTCAAGATATTCAATGCACGAAACTAGCCGGGCTTTAATTGCAGGAAGCCCCTGGGGGATCGGTGATGAGAGTGCAGCGCGCTGCAGTGATGTCTCGAGTGCAGGCAGACAACATTCCTCCGATGCCATTTTGTTAGCTGACGCCTGTTAGCCTGTGGCCACCTGTGCCTAACAGGCAATATCGACAGTGCACGGCTAGCGTCTGCTGGATGCATGCATTCGGGGCTGTTACAACTCGAACACCGTTGGACTGTCCATCAGCCGACAGACCTGTCAACTGTCAACACGTCATATTGCCTATTATAGAACAGACCTTATCAACAGATGATTAAATGACAAAAAAACACTTACACTGTTCACGGTCTAGCTGCACAGGATTTTGATCACCATGCCGGTGCGCTCTTGACTATCTGATCTCCTGTTTAGTTGTTTTGTCCCATCGATCAAAAGACCATGGAGGAAAGCTGTCAGCGGTGTCATGATTCTACTGACGCACAGCACGGGGACGTGACGGCCGAAAGGTTAGCACCTGGGGCTCAATCGTGGGGTCGTGGTTCGAATCCCAGTTGCGCCAGACTCCCCGCCTGAAGGTCCGCCCTCACTCTGAAGGTCCGCCCTCACTCTGTGAAATCGGACAAGCCTCCACTCTTCGCTCGGGAACGGGCGTTTCTGCTGAGTCGGTGGTGGACACCGGTTGGACTGACTGTGTCCATGCTTCCATAGTGTCAGTTTAGTGCCAGCGCTTGTGGTTATGATGTACCATCGGACGGCGTGTTAAGTCCTGGATCATGTCGATGTAGGACCGAACACCAACTTAGACCAAGCTGATCTGTTTTGCTATAAACGGGATGGCGTGACTTCCACTGCGTAAATCCAGGTGCTACTCGGTTGGGTTTAGCTGTGACTCAAGTAAAATCCAAACACAGATCAGCTTACGTGGAAAGCAAAACAGGGTTTAAGCGTCCTGTTTGCGCGGCTACTCGTTCCGTTCTTCTTGGACACTGGGAAGATCTAGAGAGACCGGGGAGAAGTCTTCAGCAGGAAAAAATAATCGCATATTCCCTGAGGTCGGTGTAATTTCCAATCCGTGACGATGGTCATGTCACATAAAGATGTTCAGTGCATTAGCGAGGAGCATTACTGGACCAGGCGACCTGTCGGCACAGGCGGCCAAATCTTAACATACAGGGCTCATCATGGCCAATTATGCGGACGTGATACGTGCCTCTATGTGTGAATTGTGCTAGCTTAAAATCGTTTACATACGTAAGTGATGCCTGTCGCGTGATGTGCGATGCCTGTTCAATGGAAATAGTTTGCATGCATAATTGATGCGCGATGCGTGATGCCTGTTTAGTTCAGCTCGCTTTCATGTCCGAATGAAGCGTGATGCGTGATGCCTATTTGCTTGAGTTCATTTGCATGTACACGTATGTCCGGGCATTCTAATTCTTAGACAGGCACTGTATCCTGGTAATGGCTGACAATTGCTCTTTGTTTAAGCCCCTGAATATTGGTATCCAGAAAAAACTGTGGCCTGCTCTTTCAAAACAACCTGAAAAATAGAGTAGGATCATCGGCAGGCAATTTTCAATTCACTTCTGCTGTTGTTTCGAGAAAGGCATGCTGACGAAATATCAACCTAACTTTATCTCTATTCTCTTATTTTTTCCCGAGGAATAAGGCTAACACTACTGTCTTATCTATGTCGCATAAAGTGTGAACAGGTTCGTTCGGTGGCTCACTGTATAGAGCGCCTGCCTTTCGATTCCCTCTCATGTAACGATGAAACTGTTCGAGTCACTTCAGGTGCCCGCTGTATACCCCTGACTGGGACGGCCTACGGCCAGCAGCACCGGCAACGCTCAAGACCAGGCGATGACAGCGGGTGGGGTGGACCGTGTCCAGCGTTTCTGCGCTCTGAACTTCCGCCGCAACATTCAGCCGTTGACCTAGAACTTGAAGATCGGATACTGGGCCAGGGCTTACGCAGCGCGGAATTATTAGCTTTTGATCCCAAAAGTCCAGTCATGTAGAAGACGAGAGCCAGATTAGTTATAAACTGTGTTCTACTGCTTAATTTTGGGTTATTTTGAGGCTTTGGCACTATTTTTATCCATACCGGTTGGCATTTTCATCATCTCCATGTTTAGTGGGTGCTGTTCCTTTCAGAATTACTTGTGCATCATGTTGGGGGATAGAAAGTTGTTCCAGTACAATGGGATGACTTTTGGAATTGTATGTCAATTACTACCATGCAATGCCCATATGTACCAAATACCAGTTAAAGGTGGCATGCCAGTTTTTGTACTTTTCTTTTATTACTAGATCAAACGCGTACCGTTTGATATCTAATATCAGTTTTTTTCGAAATCCTTGTGAATAACTCAGAATTTGTATTTGAAGTAGCTGCTCGTGCGGGAGAGAGACGTTCTATTTTAAAGTTTCTAAATGTTTCATTTTTTTGTCCAACTTTGATCATTTTGGCGGGGGAGGGGTGGGGGTGGGGCGTGTCCAGTTGCTTCTGTTTGACTCCGTGTGGCTCCGCCCATGACTCTGTTATAATCGACATCCACCTAACTTCATCAAAATTTCGCTGTTGCTTATTACCAGGATCAGGAGCGTACACTGAAATTTGCTATCCCGGGGGAGGGAAGGGGCACAAAAAGTCCACTTATATCCCAGGTTAGTCCGCCACAGCCGCATGCAAGTTTGTCCCCTTGAGGTAAAACATCACATTTTTTCGATTCATTTAAATTTGCTGGTCCACCCCGAATCGTATATCATCAGCATGTTAACACATTTTCACGCACCTTTTCATACATGTGATAAATGCAGCAAAGAAGTGGTATGTCACCCTAGAGGACACTACGTGTATACACCCCAACTACGGTTGTTTGCTTTTCCGAAATTAATGAGTTTAGTCATGCTCGATGAATTCCTTCTTATTTTTTTTTAAAACGCGTATTTAAATGCATGTAAACAACATTTTTCGATTTGATGGCCTCCAAAAGTGTAGCATGCCTAGCCTGAAAATGTTTGCATGTGTGACAATGCCACAGCTAGGCTGCTCAGACTGGTGAAATACACTAGGCCAAGAGTCATTTGCTGTGTTGTAGACTTCAGTAATAAATCCTGAGCCCGATATTTTCATTCACAACCATTGGATCTTATAGGATACATTACACATGACCCCTTCTGAAACTTTGTCAAAGGATCTTCTCAGGTTAGAATTTCATTTTCAAACTTTGCCAAGTCTTTAGCAGTCTGAATCTTTTCTGGATTTTTGCGAAGGGGTCCTTTGAAATCAAGGGTTTTTCTGCTTATGTTGTCGAACGATGGCTTATAAGTTCGGGCTTTAATTCAAATTTGTGGACTTAATTCACGTGTGAAATCTGAGATTTCTTCTGTGGGTTCAGGGACAGGTCCGCCATTGTTTGTGGCCGATCATCACCATGACCGTATCTATGCCATTTGGACGTGATACGCGAATTGGACGATTAGAAAAACTCGTCCAAACAAGCTGGCAATTGTCACCGGCGTTTCCGTGGGTCGTGCTTCGCGGGTAGGTGTCGTCGGAGGGGCCTTTCCCTCGGCTAATGGCCGTCGACACGCAAGAAACCGCCGCACATTACCGAGCCGCGACGCCGCGGCCGTGTCCGGTTACCGAGGCGATTTGCGCCGGGAACGGAACTCTCCGGACAGGAGCCCCATCCGGTTATGATGTGTAGCGGTGACGTCCATCAAACAAATCGGTTGTGAGCTTCATGTCTGCAAAATTGTACTTGTCCATTATACTTCGTGTGACATTTTATTTTTAACAGGATCTGTCTTACGTCGTAATAATGTTGCGAATATTTTCATTTGGAAACGGGACAAGTGGAGGCGAGTATGCCATATGCCATGCCTCATTTACACCTGGTGGTGCTCACGTAACGGTGGCACCTTATCGCCTGGCGGCAGAAAACTGAAAATAGAGGGAATGACAGCATTGGTGGCTTAAGAGATCATCGAGGTTCAGAACCTGTTTTGTTACCCAATATTTTCCGCTGGTTTTGCTTCAAGTAGCATTTGAAAACGTCCTTAGTGAGCTCAACCTCTTAACCATATGTGTAGGAGACAAATTGCTCTCGGGACGGTGTAAACTCCTTTCGTTTCTTCGACGGTATTTCCAGAACTGTCCAACTTTTCGTAGCTGGTTAGATTCTGCTTAGGTCGCCCGTCGCACTTAGTTATGCCAAACCAGTACATTTCCGTTCTTTACCGTCTCCGGTCACCGACTTTTGTATCGTGGCAAGTGTCCACACGGTGGAAAGGTGGAAAATCTGTGCTCTTTGATGTATTCGTGGTACTCTGAACCAAGAAATAATTTTGCAGGGTGGTTCTATGGGAAAGGCCTATATAATGCACACCATCAATGCCCATGACGTGAACAAAGACCAGTCGTGCCAGTGCCAAAGCAGGGTGAAATCTTGCAGACACTTCGATTGAACTGATATGATTGACAATAACCACTTGCGTTTACCACCTGGAATACATTAACATCTTATATTATGCGCCGAAATACTGTTGCGTCAGTAGTGATGCAAGTATTATTCAAAATCAAGGTAACGCCAGGTCAATCTGAAAAAAACGCTTCAAAACAATGCTGACAGAGTTAACAGTGTACTAATAGCATCGCACGAAAGCTTCAAATGATGTTGTCATTGCCGCATGGCAGCAGATTAACAGCTCCGGGACAAAACGGCATTGTGTTCCCATCGATTTACCGAATCCAGCAAGAACATTATCCGCGTTTAGTGGGTCAACGTGTCAAATGCAAACAAGGAAAGCAGAAACATTGCAGACCAGGTGTGTAGTGTCCTATTTAGTTGGGGGAAAGAAGCCTTCAGCTTACCCAAGTTGCGTGTAAAAATCCGGTTGTTGGCGTATTTCGGGGTTCAGGTGTCATTTTTCACTGTTCGGCCCTCCCCTCAACGTATTTGTCAACATCACGCCGCTGTCATAGACTGTTGGAGGTCATATACAACGTGCCAAATATCACCAAAAGGAATATTGTGCCCCTGAAATGGTCCGAAATTGAATACTATTACACACTTTTGCTGACAATGGCTCTTACAGTGCTCATCCGCGTTTGTTTGCGTTTGCTGTTTTGCGCCGGAATTTAGTGACGGTTCTGCACATTTCACTTTCGACTCGTCACCCGCCACCTCATTTCAGCAATGCTAAAGCAACGGAGCGAGTTAATTCTGTGGCAGGCGTTATCGAGGAGCTCTAGACGACGTGCATAGGGATAGAAAGAAGCACGCACAAAGTTAACCTCTATGGTCTAATGTTTTTGGACAATCGGCGGATGAATATGCTATTTAGAGCTTGGGATCGCTATCTGCAGTCATCGTTGTCTGCGGATTATTCAGCACTGCGCGACGCTTACCCCTTCGTGTCGCTGGGACGCCAATCTCTGCCACCATCATCCCCCACCAGTTCATGATCTCTCTCCAGCCGCCAGTTCATCGTCGCTCACCAGTTCATCATCCCTCACCAGCCACCAGATCATCATCCCTCACCAGCCGCCAGTTCATCATCCCTCACCAGCCGCCAGTTCATCATCCCCCACCAGTTCATGATCTCTCTCCAGCCGCCAGTTCATCATCCCTCACCAGGCACCAGTTCATCATCCCTCACCAGTTCATGATCTCTCTCCAGCCGCCAGTTCATCATCCCTCACCAGCCGCCAGTTCATCATCCCCCCACCAACCGCCAGTTCATGATCTCTCACTAGCCGCCAGTTCATCTTCGCTCACCAGTTCATCATCCCTCACCAGCCACCAGATCATCATCCCTCACCAGCCGCCAGTTCATCATCCCTCACCAGCCGTCAGTTCATCATCCCTCACTAGCTACCAGTTCATTGCAGAGCCCTATCAGACCTGACGGCATCTCCGGAAACCAGACAGGTAGAAAGGTTATTTTGGCAAAGTCCGTGTACTTTGCCGCGACAGGCAATTGCCGTACGGTAGCGATACCCGCTTGTGCCGTAGCTTGGTACACGAACAAATAACCTTATCTGAAATTAGTTGCATTATCAGTGAAAAAGTTGCGTTTAAGTTATTTATAGCATATGTAAAGGCATGCACCAGGATGCGCATCGCAAGTGCTGAATACTTCTGGCGAACCGAACACGCACCGCGCAAATGAGCTGGAGCACATTGCCTATCCGCTGACATACCGCAGCCAGCTGCGAAAGGAACGATGCATAGCGTGACGGGCCACATGGCCGACCCCGGCTGCGGCGCTGACCTCGGCTGTGTCGGCGGTTGCAGAGCCGGCGACACCCGACGCCCCCGAGGTGACCGTTCTCCGGAGAGAGGAGGTCGTCCGGGAGGGCGACACCCTGATCGTGCCATGTGTCGTGACGTCACAGCCCGTCGCCGAAGTACGGTACGTGCAGCGCCCGCTGGGGGATCGCCGATCGCCCTGGGGCTGTGGACTGCCGCTAATCCTTTTCTTAACCACACGAACAATCCAACTACCCACCGCCCATTATCAGGTCCCCGTGAGTGTTTTCGGTAGATCCTCTGTGAAGTATAGTACCTCCCCGTGCATTAAACAACTAATTACCACTTACGATCATAACAGAATTCGCGACACTTCCCGCTAGGAAATGGAAGGCAACGTTGCATAGCTAATGAGGGGCAAGGAGGAACCTTGAAGTCAGTTTGAGTATGCTGCGATCAGACAAATTTATTATTTTAAATTTATTTGTTTTATTAGTATAATAATGTTAATATATATGATAATAATATATAGCGATATATAATATATGTAATAAATATATGAACGATGTACATAAATATAACATCTAATAATGATATGATGATGAAATAAAATAAAATAATAAATTATAATAGTTATAAATATAATTATATATAAAAATATTACCTGCGGTCAGACAAAGCAAAGATGAAAACATCGTGTATTATTTCCTATCGAAAAAAACGAATGGTGCAATGAAGAGCATGCCAGTAAAATAGTGCTGAGATAGTTATCTTCAGAATTGTATTAGCAGCAAACAACAGTGTCTAGCATGTTGCGAATGCTTTTATGCTTTTAACAAGCACTCAGTTGAGGGCTAGTCTGTTCCCCGAAAGTTTTCCAAAATAACTTCCGAGTGGTGCAGGATAGCCGCACCCAATCCAGTATAGCTGTAGGCAATGAAAAAGCCAATCTGTTGTTGTATTAAATTGGATGTACCTTGTAAGTTCGTTGACCTGTGACAGGTTAAGAGCAAGACATGGCTGCCAGCGGAGACAATTCCTAGGGAACCGTTCAATATGGTGCGATAACGGAGTGGTGGAAAAGACATTCATTTTTGAGACGGCTTTTCCTGACAAGGAAATAAAACTAAGGGTTACGATTACTTCCTTTGGCCTTGGGTCAGGCGTGAGTTTTTGAGATCTTAGGAGGTGAATGTGCCACCCCTCCCCACCCGAGCGGCTTCGTTTAACAGTCGGCCAACTGGTCGTGTGCTAATGTACTTGATGCAACCAATCTGCAATCATAATAAGAGTGAATTACGTGTCAATGAGCATTGCTTGTCTCAACCAACCTAATCCGGGCTCATGCTCACGTTCAGACAGAAGCTTACGGCCTGTGTCCGTAGTTACGTCAGACGCACTCTCGCGGAGCACCAGAGCACGAGCCCGGATGATTACGGTGGTCTGTAGACGCTGCGGGCTGCACGCCGGTCAGCTCGCCGCTCGTTTTTCACCTTCAGTAGCAGACACATCTCTTTGAAGCACGTCATCACAGAGGCTCGATTGCTGCTCAAAGGGAATGCTCCACATTTGAAGATGTTGAAGCAAGCATGATATATGATAACATAAATTCATTTATAGCCATAGGTGTACGTTGAATCAGACAAACTGCTCAATGCAACACAGTTTCTCTATTTAGTATATAAGCTCCTCAGTACGCCATTGTTTGCGTCATGGAACATTTACATGACATTGAAGTACTGCCAAACTAGCCGCGCGAAATTGCCACTTACTCTTAGTGCTTAAAACTTGTCGGGAGCTGTGGCATGCACGAGATAGTCAGCACATCTTCACGGGCGTGCAGCTCAGAAACCAGAGGGCTCTAGATTTTAATAAGGATAGAGCTGTGAACTGCGCGCCCTCTCTCAACTCAACATGACGATTTCAGCCCAAACCAAATATCAATGTGCATCACTCTAAGGTGTTGAGTTTCCCCATGCAAGAGGTGGGAGGGGAGGGAACATTCAGCACGAACGACTGTTTTGCTGACTGCGCGGAGCATCAGGAACCCTCGTATCTAGTTGTTTAACGTAATAGCACTGATTGAGATGTCCCATGGTCAAGAACCCTGGGGTTTGCAACCAGTGCCCGCTTAAAACGTTAAGCTGGCACGATCTGTGATCCTGACTTTGCCCTCTCAGTAATTTATCTGACCACGTTTACAGCATAGTTCGTAATAAACAAAATTGAGTACGTTGCTCAGTGCATTTGCGAGGAACATTATTCAAATAGATAAAACAATAGTGATAGCATTATTCCTCGGAGAAAAGCCAGGAGAATGGAAACACAGATGGGCTGATATTTCGGCAACATGTCTTCATCGAAACAATGGCAGAAGTGAATTCAGAGCTGCCTTGATTTTAACTTCACTTTTGCAATTGTTTTGGTAAAGGCATTTTAAAAAAAATCAACCCATGTTATGCTCATGTATATGTTGTTCATGTATATGTATATGTAACCCATGTATATGTTGTATATACCCTGGCTTTTATTCGAGGAATAAGGTTATTACGACTGTCTTTTCTCAATAACAAGCTGAAATACTAATGCTATTATTTATAAACATTACAAACATCTAGAGCTATTATGTTTGAAGTAAGACAACTCAACGAATGAAAATGATTTCCCAGTCATTGTTTATTATTTCAACCTGCAATCAACCCGTTCCTTTTTCAGTGGTCCAAGTATCCCTCCCTAGGGAATCTCCCTCCCGGCCATTTGCCGTCATCGACTGAACTACTGTACACAACTTTCTGTTGCATTTGCTCATACCGCATTGCTTTGCGTGCAAAACTTTATAAAGAAATCAAATTTATAAATTATTGCATTGTTTTGTAGTGAACTTTGTAGATAAAGATACCCATCATATTTTGTTTCACAAATTTCGGTATGCAAACCTCCGCACGCATTTGTTTGATTTTGCGAAGTCAAAATAATTCGCTAAACTGGCCGGTACGACCTGGGTGGTTGCTTCAGGGCATACACAACAAGCTATGGTTAGTAGGTGCCCTCAAACCAATGCCGTCAACGTCACCTAATACCGTCAATGCAAGCCATACGGAAAGCTTTGCGCTCGCAGATATTTGCAAGCCAAGAAATGCTATACGAACACTCCGTGTTTTCTGCACGGCGCTCTACGCATAGGAAGAAATACGGTGCGGAGGGCATTACTGGAGCCATTCAGCTGACAGCGGAGCCAGGAGCGCCTCACAGGAGCTGTACTGTCGTCAGGCAGCGGCGCAGCGGCGCCCAGGGGCCCATCTGGCGCCGGCTCGACCGTCCCCGAGCTATGGTTAGCAGGTACCCACACGTCCTCTTACCCCTTCCCCCGTTCCCCATCATCTTGTCTCCTCGGTCAGACGGACCGATATTGTGACCTTCAGGCCGGAGGTGAGAAGCCGAAACGGGGCCGACAGCGCCGTTTGGGAGTTGACGGCTGACGACCTGATGACTGGCCGAGCCAGCGGACCGCCACAGATGAAGACTGGCAGTCACTTCGGTCCCTGCCTGGCCAGTAATGAGCTCCAGGCCATCGGGGGTGATGCGCAGCAGGTTTTGCACTTATTTTCCCAAATGCTCGAAACCTCTGTCGCCTCCGCTGGGCAAACTCGTTGATGTGTTTGGCTACTATGGTAACACCATCAATATCGTCAGTATCCCGCCACTGACCTGTCGGCCTTTGTCTCCTGATCTGCTGGTCTCATTCCTCCAGTCTCCTGGTTTTCTGGCCCTAATTATCGATCTCCTTTTTCTGAATCCCCGGTCTTCTGTCACTGATCTGACAGTGCCCTGCCCTTGATCTGTCAATCTCCCATCGCTCATCTCCCCCTCACTGGTCTGTCAGCTCCCCATCTCTTGATCGTCCGGACAGCTGATCCCTGACCGGTTGATGCCCGGCTCCTGATTGTGCCGATGTCCTGTGATCGTGGGCAACCAGGAACGCCGTGCGGGGCAGCGGGAGGCGAGGCGCCACCGGAGTCAGTAGGGGCACCGGGCGAGGCAGCGGGAGGCGAGGCGTCGCTGGAGTCATCAGGGGTGCCGGACGGAGGAGCAAGCTGCGAGGCGCCGCCGGAGTCAGCAAGGGCGCCGGGCAAGGCAGCGGGAGGCGTGGCGCCGTTGGAGTCACCAGGGGTGCCAGACGGAGGAGCAAGAGGCGAGGCGCCGCTGGAGTCAGCAGGGGTGCCGGACGGAGGACCAAGAGGCGAGGCGCCGCTGGAGTCAGCAGGGGCGCCGGGCGAGGCAGCAGGAGGCGAGACGGATAAGCACCAGCGGAAAAGACCAGCCGTCGTCGGCGGTAGTGTTTGCCGTCTCGCGTTAATTGGCTACGGCTGTGTCTAGAGAGTGCAAAGTGGGCTTATGCAGATCGGGCTCCCTACAATTTGAAGCGTCCGGAGAGACAGAGAGCGGTGGGACAGGGTGTACCGTGCATCACAGCGGGGGGAGGGGGTATGTATCGCAGAGAGTGTGTGTATCACAGCGGGGGGGCATGTATCACAGCAGGGGGGGGGGGAGGGGGGGGGGGGGGCATGCATCACGGCGGTCGGGGAGGGTAGACCATGTATCACAGCGTGAGGGATGTTTCACAGCGGGTGGCATGCATCAGAGCGAGGGGGCATGTGTCTCAGCGGGGGGAGGGGGGGGGGGGCAGGTATCACTGCGGGGAGGTGGCTTGCATCACAACGGGGGCATGTATCACAGCGGTCGAGGAGGGCAGACCATGTAGTACAGTGAGGAGGAGGGGCATGTATTACAGCGTGCAGAGAGCATATATCAGAGCGGGGGCATAAATCATAGCGCTGGGGGGGGGGGGGGGGGGGGGAGCTCGCCGAGAGAGCACTGCATAGGACATGCACGCGCAGATAGTGTTCAGTCGTTTTAGTCAGGATATTGTGATGTCGCAACCTAGACTGGCCAACATCACAATACTGAAGGTCACTAAAATGAATATAGTAGACAATATGACCTGGTAAAGAAAAACAGCATTTACTTGAGGAACGTGACTATGACAAAGCGATGATCCCAGTTGGCATAAATCGCCCGGCGACAAGGGCACTGCAAGGTGATCGGGATCACAGTTTACAGATGTATTACGCCGATGAATGTTTTTTTTTGAAAATATGATAAACAGTGTCTGCTGCTCACGGCGAATGATCCTGCCGTACGGTGCACGCAGGTCATAGTGCATCAAAACAAGATAACACCTACAGGGTGCAGAAATGCGTTTATCCCTTGTTTTCCATATTTCTGTGTGATGCGTTATATAAGTAACTGGGAACTTGCATGATGCCTCTAAAGGACACACACATATTACATATGTGTTGGGCATACTTGTCTCTTTGTTTAATGCTGTGAATTGGCGGAATGTGTGGCACATGTGATGGAGGTCACCGTTATCTATGGGTACCGACTACCGGTGCAGGTAAAATGGGGCGAGCTACTGACAACACGCATCATGCATCCGATATCAGTATGGCTAGTCTGGACATAGTGCATTCCATTTGAAACTAATAAAAATAGATTGAACTCTAATAGTTGAAATACGCCCCCATGCTATGCATTTATTACGGTTTCATTAGATTGATTGAAGGGCTTCATTTCAGCCCGAGCCCCTGTCCGCGAGTTACAAAAAACGCTAGGTTAATATTGTACTGTTTCATTTTCAGTGACGCATTGTGCCTTACGTTCACAGAGGACCATATCGAGCCTTTCACGTGTCCCCATCACACCACACATAACCGCTGTCACGTGACCCGTAACATACTTCCTGTATGGCTCGTCCAATTAAGATTCCCCGAACACGCCTTATCACGCGCCCGGGTGGCCGGCTGGATACCCTTCGCTTGGGTGGGCGTCAATTTGACCCTCCTGGGATCTCAGGAACTAAGAGGGCCGGAGACACCAAATTCACAGGGTGTCTTGGCCGGTACGTGAACTCACTTAGGCATAAGTTTTAGGTTGCTATGTTAAGATCTTCGGGTCAAATAAGTTCAAACAAGGTCGAACTCTGAGTTTTTCTCCAAAGTGTCCCCAGAACCTGTTAGATACCTGTTCTAAGCAAAAGGTCACTTGCTTACATAGAGCCAGTGACCTTGTATGACCTTAAGATGGTCATGGTGACCAGAATCATCGAAGACTGCTTTGAGTTTTGCATCCCAATAAGCGACAAAGATTACGCTAAGCACTATGTTCCTTAGAAGAAAAAAATTGGCCTTGGTCATTTTACGTCAGTGACCTATTAGAACCTTTAAGAAGCTCATGGAAGATGTCTTATGCGGTCCCTGTTATCAATCATTTCGAAATGAACACAAGAAACTACCTCATAAAGCAAGCCCTAGAGTAATAAAACAGTTGGTTTTGACCTTGGTCTGACCTTTGTACCTGACCCTATGTCAATGGAATTTGGTCATTTAATTATTGTACTGCCTAAGAAAGTATTTCAGAGATGTATGGCTTCGTCTAACACTCCATCAGGTTGAACGATTCCCTAGAAACTGACTTCGCTGAATTCGTGGACTGACTTTGACGTGCCTTTGGTCAGCGACTTTGAAAGGTACATCTCACGATGCGCTATTCAGTTGCTTACAGCTATGCAAAATTTGGCGCGGCCACGCCGCGCCGTTCGGAAACCATTTCGGAAAAGCCTCGAGGGGTCAATTAGACCCCCCACCCGAACGCGCACAAAGATGAAGCGCCTCACGCCAGTAGCCAGCAGCGTCGAGACCTTCTTCTCCATCCGCTCCGTTTCCACAGGTGGATGAAGCTGACCACGGACCGCGGCTCGGTACTGGCCGTTCAACATGGGCCCTTGCTCACCCTGAAGCCGGCGCGGCCGGGGGAAGCGGGCACATATGTCTGCCGCGCGACTAACGCGCACGGCTCGACGGAGATCAAGGTCAACGTCAAGGTCATCTCAGGTCTGCACGTGACCTTGACGCCGGCTCGGTCAACCGTCGACGTGGGCGCCGAAGCCGAGCTGATCTGCACGGTTCACGGGTAAGGACGGGGATTTCAAACACGGCTGCTTTCAAGAGCTTTGTCCGAGCTGACAGGATCCCCTGTGATCAAATCCCGGTCCAAGGAGATTTATTTGTGTTTTATATTTAAGAAGCGAATGGCTTCGGCTTTGTGCAAGCAGCTCGTTATAAAAGCTGCCTGACCTGTACAATAGTCTAGACCTGCAATGATTATTGCTGGTCGAAAGACTCTAATCCATAAAACCAAACCCTTTTTCTTCATTTCCCAGCTCTCAATCAACAGACACATTTTATCTGGGAAGAAATTTTACCCTCATGAACTTTCAAAATGTTCGTTAATCCGATGTACAAAATTGCACGGGCTGTAAGTTGTGGTTCTGTCCATCTGGCAAGCTGTAAGAATATTGTGAAGAGGGAACAGTTGCTGTTATTTTACTAATTTTGTCCAAAGCTATTTGACTGGATGGATTTCTGACAATGTAGAAAACGCATATCAGTGCTTGTTCTGTGAACCCTGACCGCACCATCCAACCGTGAAATTTCTGTTTAACAGCATAAGTGTGTAATAAGAGTTTATTACTGTAATGCCCGGCACGGCCCGCCGCGCACGCTGACCTCTTCTGACCTTGAGCAGCTGCAACTGCTGGCCACTGGCCTGCCACACATCGCAACATAATTCCTCAAATACTTCAGGAAATGCTTGCCTGTGGGAAATTTACGATTACACTGCTTAGAAAATTGCCCTGTCGCCGCCTCAGCTCATTAGGCAATTTACGAGGTCCTAAATTAGATAAGTACAGCAGACCGGATATTTGACCCAGTGAAGAGGTCGAGCTTCATTAAGTCGCCGAGTAGTGCCGAGACAGCTCCCATCAATGGACGGTGCAGCTGCGCTAAGGACCGAACTTATCTAGAGTTATGTCCCATGGCAGGCTGGCTTTACGTCCCCGCTCCAGCGGCGATCACCCCATTTCATAAGCCACTGGAGCCAGATCGGGGGGATCAGTCCGGTTTGGGAACCCCATGTGTTCCCGAACGAATAGTCCGACGGCCGTGATTTCCGGCTTGAGAACTTCCGTCCTCCGGTCTGGGAACGACTGACCTCTGGTCATCCAATACCTAATCTTTGACAACGCTTATCTCTGACCTTTGACATGCGAACCTCTGATCTCTGACCGTCGAGTCTCTGAGTTCTGTCCTGCGAACCCCTGACCTTTAAGCCCGGATAACTGACCACTGCTCTGCGAATCTCTGACCTCTGACCTCTGGCGTGCAAATCTCAGACCTCTGGCTTGTAAACCTCCGACCCGGGACCTACGAACGTCTGAAATGAAGCCTGAACTCTGGACTCTGGCGCGAGAACCGAGATCTCCAGTGATCTCCGCGAGAACCGAGATCTCCTACGAACGTCTGAACTGAAGCCTGAACTCTGAACTCTGGCGCGAGAACCGAGATCCTTAGCCTGTGAACTCCAGACATCTTACCCGTGCAGTTTTGACCTCCCGCCTACAGACGTCTGACCCACGACCTGCGGACCTTTCGCCTCTCGCCTGTAAAATCCTGAGCCCTGACCTGTGAACCTTGATATGTGGACTATAACTTCCGACGCCCGACTTACACCCACGGACCGTCGACTTGAGAACAACAGACGTTTCACATGACAAGCCCCTGGCCTCCGAAATGAAAATGTCTGACATCTGGACCAGAAGCCCCTGACCTCTTTGCCATACTCACGCTCACAGTGCGTTCCTTTTCTATCGAACTTCGCGCAGGACGCCGTTGAGATGCTTGCTTTTGTAGTCGCCATCCGCGCTGCTTCGAGCCTGGCACTTTTCTGCAGCACTGAGGACAGCAAAGCGAAGTCGAACGGCAGGGTCGCAGCCGACCGCTTGGGAATGGGTCCGGGAATTGAATGATTGGGTTGGACTTGCGTGATACCGGGCGAATGTGAACAAGACCACCCGTCAATCCTAATATAATCCAATGGTTAGAATATTCTGCCGCAGTGTCGCCAATGCTTTACATGTGGGAGCGTGTGGTACGTGATCTTAATGCATGCAATTCGTTGCGGAGCTCATTTACATCGCGGTTGTCTCTCATGTCAATAGTGAGTTGACGATGGTCAGTATCGTCCGTTTTGTCGATCCAAGCTGTTGGAGGGTGATTTTTCAGCCGGCTGTGGCGATATATCTTGCCCAGTTACTGCTGCCACGCATGAATAATGCCCTGGCGGGCGATACAAATTCCGTTGATGATAGCTGCGGCCTGCAATTAAGCTATTGAAGCATGCAGCCGTTTAGATCGATCCCAATGCTTGCTGCCTGTTTGGCTAGGCTGTAAACCGGCCCCGCAGTGCAGTCGAAGTAACAGTAAGGATCCTTCGCTTGGAAGCTACCGTCTGGATTGTGAAAGTGCGGTCCTGTACCCGCCCCCTCCCCCTCCGCGATTTGCGAGGAGGTCGTTACACGCCCCTTCGGTTTGACTACAGCTCCAAAGCAAATGACGTCAAAAATCTGTTTGATCTATACATGCGTCATGCTAGGTCAGATCAAAATGACGTTCCAGCATTGACCGACGATTATAGTTGCATTCCATGTCTGTCTCCAGGGCTCGTTCAATGTTCATGTGTGTTTGCTTTGGTCTACAGCAAGCTCGCAAGGCATTATGAATTGAAGTTGGATGAATCCAAAGTTCAGGGCATGAAAGGTCAAGTTCAAATGACCGGTCTCCACACTTGCCTATGGCCGTGCATGTCCCAATGGCGGCTTCTGCTCGCTGGCGAGTTGGGGTTTGTATCACCAGATCATCATAGGTTAATGCAGGCCTCTGGCCATCTGAGGCCCCGTCATAACGACGTCATACGGTCAAACGCAGGAGACCGTTTTTAGATTTGAATCCTATTTCATATTCACGAATGCCGATTGGGAGACCGATTCTGCCTGATGAGACGCAGTCCAAGTTAGCTGTCATGTGGAATCGTGATAAGTCCTTACAATTGTGCACGTCACGTCAGTTCTATGCATGATTAAGCAAAATTGACATTGGTCTCTGAAACTTACCTGTAAACATTCTATCGTGTTATGATAATAGCTGAAACTTTGTTTCATCTTTGCACTTAGTGAACTGAAATTTTGCACAATGCAAGGCGGAGCTTACGTGAACGTGAGAGGAAAAGAGCGTTCAAGTCCGCGTACATGACCTGACCTCGGGCGTTGCTTGGTCTATGTACATCATCATATAGATATTTCAAATGTACTCGACTCTCTCGTTGAACCTACTGCAAGTAAATGCGGCTATATTACGGCCCATAGTTGAAATCAATGAGCAGATTAAAAGGATCTTCTTGTAAGCAAATCGCAATTTTCGACTTCATCAGTGAGAGTGGTTATGTCATGCGAGTCAGAAAATTATTATTGCGCCGGTGTGCTGCTATCCGGCATTGTCGCTTCCGTTTCACAAATACCGATTTATTTGTTGGTTTCAAGCTGTTGAGAATGGGGGGAGGGGACATTCGGCATTAAGCAGCCAGCGCCAGGCACGTCTCCGTGTGCGGCCATGGTCGCGGGTTGGACGGTTAGATAATCAAGTGTTCTGCGACGCCAGCTTAACTTCGCGGCGGAGGTGCCTCCACAGAGATCGGGGTGGCAATGCGGCCGTTCCGTCGATGTGTAGAGGAAACAGGCAAACGTCGTGACCGGGAGGCGGTGAGCTGACGCCTGGTATCGAGTGACGGACCATAAATCGACGACATGTGGCTCATTGAGCAGACCAAAATATCCACCATGTGCGGGGGCCCGAATGGTGACACGCGCTTCTGCAACTTAATTACGCGTAAACTCGAGGCTAAATATATCCAATGGGGATATACAATGTTGATCGTGGTAACTACCATGATAGCATCGTGACGTATTCAACGATACGACCTCAATAAATGAATAAGCCAGACGCGTCACATCTTGCCGCGCCTTTTGAGGTCCAGCTCGCCTGCCGACTGCAGCCTGCATCAGCCACCGCACGCGTGTATGCCACTGAGTGCCTAGGAGCTGCAGCTGACCCCAGCGTGATCTCGCCCCTGCAGGTGGCCGCACGGCCCGGTGACCTGGTTCAAGGACACGCGGCCGCTGACCGCGGCCTCAGCGAGGACCGCTCTGTCTGGCGCGTGCCGAGTCTGCGACCGGAGCATGCCGGCGGTCTACCAGTGCTTCGTCGGAACGGCGAGAGCGGCGCGCTGCGCGAGGAGGCGCAGGCCACGGCCGCCGTCGCGTCGGAAGTAAGCCGCGGTCACTCGGCCGAAGGGGGGGGGGGGGAGGGGCGAGTACCCGAGTTAGAGACCGTGGGGCTCGGACAGGCGGTTTGTGGGAACCGTTTGGACCAAAAATACATATGTACATGCATGAACTGTGTGATGTTAGCAAACATATTTGCGTGACGGAAGACACCAGACTCGCTACTCTAAAAACAGCGTTCACGACCATCACGCCGAGTTCATACGACTCTTCAGGAGGAGGTGGGAGGGGGAGGGTGTGGAGGGGGCATACGAATCGCGGGTGACATGACTGCAGACAAGCTTTTTATATTTTGCCACGTAGTCATAAGTACGAAGGTCAGACATGCAAAGTAAATGTCTCTCGGAGGAACAAATGGTCTTCATGCCATTTTTGTTGTTGTCAGGAACAAACCAAATGCAGAAAAGCCGCTTCAAGTGAAATGCGGCTGATTTGATGCGACCACAGAAACGACTCCTACGATTGGTTGTCAAGGACTTTGTAGGCATTCATTTCTCTGATAGCTTCCCGAGTACAGCGTGCAGCAGTCGAAATGTTAGTAAAACGCAGCAGTTTAAATCTGTCATATAGCAGGCAGCATCACCTCATAGTCTTGTTGGTGTGGGCTACCTTATGCGGTCCCGTGGATGTAAGACGAAGTTGGAGGGTCGTTCCCCACCGGCAGACACGCCGCCCGTGCTGACCTCGTCATTCATGAAGCAAACGACGGACAGTGGCCGGCCAACGAGCCTGT